CAATTTGATATCTGTGCGTATAATAAACTTAGACACATTTATTAAAAAAATTTAGATCTGTTCGGCTTCAATAGGGATGAGATACTGGAAAATAGACATTACTTCTCGGAAAATTAGCAAAAAACAAATTAGCAATTATGAAAGCCAGCTAAAAAAAAGCTGGGGATATTCGACTACTCTATTTTAGCCCAAATTAAAGGGAGTAGTAAGGCAACAAGGAAGAAACCCGAAATAAAAACAAGTCTCCAAAATGATTTTGGAAAAGGTCAGACGTTTCAGGTAGCAACCACTACCTTTCGCCAGTGACACTAGAGACTTGTCAGAAAGGCAGGTTTATATATTAGCACAAACTATCGATTGATATGCAAATAAGCGACGAAAAAAAATTCATTATAATTTTTTTTTAAGTCTAAAAGGACAAAAAAGGTAGACAAGTCAAGCCAAACATGATGCAAATCAGTCAAATAGCTCCTGTTGTTTCATGACAGATTAAGTGTTGTCTGTTCTTGGGGCTGAGAGCGCCATGGTCCAAGTGCCTGAGAGTTCTACCCGTTCCCCCCTCCCTGTTGAGGGTGGGCTTGTACATTCTTTCATATATTGCCTCTCTGACTCCTCGTTCCCACGCGCGGGATTCGCGATCTAAGATATCCGTGGACTCTAGTTTAAAAGAGTGACCCTGGTTGTGTTGTAGGTGGTGGAAAATAGCTGAGGAGTAGCCGTTAGCTCTCAGTACCTGCAAACTTTCCGTTCTTCTTTTTCTCAGTCACATTTTCATGACGTTTACATCCCATTCGGTTGTTATTTCTTCTCCATTTCTTTATGACATATATTGCTTTTTAACAAATACATGACTTATGTACCTTACAAAGATTATGCATTATGTTGACACACGTTAACGTTTTGTAGCAGTTTTCGGCCTGTCACCAGGGCGACAAGGAACAACATAGGGCACTTAAAGCATGGACGTGATGACATTTTAAATATTAATAATATTGGCCACAGCTGACAATAGACGGTTTCACTCTGGAATAATGAAAACGCAGCACAGTGTGACGAGAATATGATCAACACGGTAGATTGACACGGTTTTCCGTGATGTGGGTCTATTACTACGAAATTGTCCCCGTTAGTGTGCAAAAACATAAATTAAAAAAAAAAACCTCCCCTTGCCTTTTGTGAAGTATAGAAAGACATATATTTATACAATCATATCAAAATACTTTTGGTTGACTTATTTAACACGTGAATACGTATCGCGTCACCAAGGGTCTAATAACATGGGTCACCAGTCGTCCTAAAATTCTGATATCGTCGAATTTTCAAGCAAGCTGATGCAATTGCAACTGCCGGCGAGGATAGAATTTCAAGACTGTCTTTTGGACTGGTGAGCATGTTCGACTGTCCCAAGTATGCCCTCAAATTTTAATCGTTGGAAGATTTACGGCGAAGCAGTTCTTTGTCTCATAAACGGTCGATGCCATTTCGCCGAATGGTCGATGCCATATCCGAGCGTCAAAAAACGAATAAAAAGTGACATGTACTATAAAAAGCAGTATTCTAATTGCGCATAGAAAGGAGGGTCATGTAGAATTATAGATATTAGTGAAAAAAAAGTCATAAATAAAAGCACAAGCTCGAATTCGAACCCAGGTCCAAAAGTATAACTATAAAACCCAGGGGGGGAAATGATACTATCCCATCACCCTTTGCAATACACATCCCACAACACGTGTCCCAGATGGCTGACTGTCAGCACCAGGCATATAGTCTTGTCATGTTTCGTTTAAAAGTGCAGCAATGGCAACAATTTGACCCGTAATTTTTGGTTCTTTGAATTATCAAAGGACTCAAGTAGTGTATGAGGCTATCTGACTTTTGTAACTTATGTACAACTTCTTACATTGTGTCTTAAACATTTATGCAAAATTTGCTTCAAAAATGGTGCTCAAACTTCACCAAACTAAAGTTCTTTTCTACAAACTCTGTTGATTGGTGATATTATACATCTTGTGCATCAGAAAACCCCAAATGCACCAAAAAGCACCCATGGGAAACGGAAGAAAATTGCATTTGTTGATGATTATTACATAAATCATATCAAATATAATATTTTCTTCTGTTTCCCATGGGTGCTTTTTGGTGCATTTGGGGTTTTCTGATGCACAAGATGTATAATATCACCAATCAACAGAGTTTGTAGAAAAGCACTTTAGTTTGGTGAAGTTTGAGCACCATTTTTGAAGCAAATTTTGCATAAATGTTTAAGACACAATGTAAGAAGTTGTACATAAGTTACAAAAGTCAGATAGCCTCATACACTACTTGAGTCCTTTGATAATTCAAAGAACCAAAAATTACGGGTCAAATTGTTGCCATTGCTGCACTTTTAAAGGAAATATGACAAGACTATATGCCTGGTGCTGACAGTCAGCCATCTGGGACACGTGTTGTGGGATGTGTATTGCAAAGGATGATGGGATAGTATCATTTCCCCCCCTGTATAAAACCCTAACATATACCCTAACCTACGCCACGAAACAAACATCACAGTATGGATGGACCGTGCTGATACACTTAAGTTAGCGATATGGCTGTTAGAGTATTCTTTTCCGAAGAAGCGTAGACTCAGGTTGCAAGTTGCCAGGCTTTATTTTCACGTCCCACCTCTAGAATACCTTCTCTGACCTAGATATTCCATTCCGAGCTTAACCGTTACTTATCAGGGGAGGGTACAGACCTACTGGCCTGCAATTTTCTCTAGCACGTAACAATGGCATCGGCCGTTTACGAGACAGAAACTAGCTTTGACGACATTAAAGCTGACTTAATTCCAGAAGACAAATTTCCCTCTGAAAAATCCTGTTATATTGACTTAACTCGTGGGAAAACTAACTGTATCTAGTAGGTGTCTGTGACCAGACTGTACATGACTGTAACCACACACGGGAATGTCTTCTCCTTCTCAGGCGGGAACCTACGAACTATCCGCCTAGCCGGGCATGCTCTGACCCGGTCCTGTAGTCATAACCGAGATATCTCGGAAGATGGTAATAGGCGATCATCTGAGTGGTTTAGTACTGAAGTAATGCTACCAATACTATATAGTACTAAGCGATCAGCGAGAACGGGCTAGTGGGAGTACAAGTGGGAGCTCTAGATCTAGTCTGGCTGATGTGCTTGGTTGTGGTTCTTGGAATATATAAATATAACATTACCAAAAGATACCTCATTTAAATTTGAATTTACAGGCCTCTTTATGCCGATGTGTGCTGTCAGTAACGTGTTAGACAGTACGTGTTGCTCCTGTTAGATGCCTTTAAATTGATGACATTTATTCCTTCTTTAATCCCCTCCCCTGAAAAAAATACGAACAGTCTTGTTGGAGCGCGGAAACCTTCTCTCCGTGGCAAAATTCCCTCGGCAGCAAATCGTCCCTCGCGGCGGCATATTACTCGCGTCACTGAGAGAAAAAATTACGCCCACGCCCAACAAGACTGCGAAGGAGGCTACAGACTGGCCAATTTGATACTGTCTTACCCCCACCAAAAGATCTGCTTGGAGATTAATCGCCTATTACCATCTTCCGAGATATCTCTGTTATGACTACAGGATCGGGTGTGCATTGGTTGTGATGGGAAGGCGGCACAGTTTTCTACGACTATATTCCTGTTTACCGTAGATTTTTAAACAGACAGATCGGGCAATATACTAATGGGGATCCAATCAAGATATGTATAGTGATGATTTGTCTGATTGTACGTAGATCGCGCACGCTGAGAGGTCTGGCTGCCAAGCATAGTATGCCTCCCAAGGGTTGGAGTTCTCAGCGTGTTCGATCTGCGTGCGATTAGACAAGTCATCACTATACATCTCTTGGAACTAAGTACGGTATGATGACCACATGCAACCTCGTCGTGACCACGCCCCCCCCCCCCA